AATATGTCAGTAAAATAACAGCTTCGAAGATATTAATTTGAGAAGCATTTTCAAAATTCGATTTTTGTATTAATGATATATTTCGCGTTTCTGAGAACCGTTGCAGTAGGTCCACGCACATGTGATGTTAGTAGTCCTTTACTTTTCTATGTCTGAAAAGAAGTATACACATAGTGTGAACCGCAATTGGAATAATAGTACTACTACCGAATATGACCATGACGCGCGTATATGAGCAGGTACTTAGGGTGAGATGTATCTGACCGCAACGCGGGCAACCCTATCGTAAATGGAGGCAATAACGAGACTGCACGGTGGCTCATTGTAACACATAATTTGGAAATGTCTTTATTACCGGAAAGTAGGACGGTATTGAATTCTTAGAAACCATTTTAACGTAAAGGGACTTTGAATTAGGTGCAATTATACGCGCGCCGAATACATTATTGTCCGATTATTTCAAAAGGGGTTGTTAGGAATTTCCCAGATTTTGAAAGAAACATTTTAGCCGCCCAAAGAAATTAATATACCGTGAGTAAAGAAAGTCCATATTGAGGACGGAACACTTGTGACCTTATTTACAGGACAAAAAGAAAAGACGATGTGTTGTATGTACATGCATATTATCCATGCTCACCGACATCAAATCAACAGAATCCAAATGCGTGGACCAGCTTAACAAAAAAATCTGAATTTGAAAATGCTTCTCAAATTAATATCTTCCAAGCTTTCATTTTATTGTACGTAACATATTAATGTGATGGATTTTTCTTCCAATGTTTTCATATGTATGTACTGTAATACTTAGAATGAAGGTAACATCTAATTGTACGAATAATTTGTGTATACATAAGAGAATATGTATTTGTGTAATATAAAATTTAAATATTGAAGAGGAATAAATACATCTCCCATTTTTTTAAAATGCTTCTTGAATCAATATCTTCGAAGTTTTTATTTTACTGACATATTACAAAATGAAATTATACAATAATTAAAAATAAAAAGTAAAACCGTCGCATCGGAATTCGAACGGGGTTTCGGACGGGGTCTTCATCATGAACGCGTGAGAGAAATCAAGCAGCTCTCCGCGTTTAGGACGTAAATTTTAGGTTGCTTGGGTTTTGGGATTTTTGACCTGGCTTGGGCCACTCGGCCGTCGCGTTGTAAACGCGTGACGTAGGCTTTTGCCGAGAACACCCGAAGCAGAGCGCATACGGACAGAGGTAGAAAACGCTTGTGTTGGTGAGTCGCCGAGTAGGACGTAGTGGGGGCAGAGCTCACACGGACAGGCTACATATGCTTGTGTAAAATACCCCCGGGAGGCATGGAGAGGGTAAGCGCTCGCGCGGTTTACCCACGATTCTGGCATCACTGCCACCGCCACGGAGCCCAGCGCGTCCCCCGGCCAATCGGGGCGGTCAGGGACGCGGTACGGCTCCGCGGCGACGGCCAGGCCAACCCCCCACGCAGCCAGGCTATGGACAAACAAGTCCTGTGCCCGGGCCGAATGGTTGAGGCTGGCCTGAAGGATCCGAGTGGGGGGGAAGACTAGTTCGTCACCATAGCCTCCCCCCGGCCGGATCCTCCCTCCTCCGCCGCCGACGCCAGTGTGCTTCGACCTTCCCGTGACCAGCCTTAACGCCCGAGAGGGTCACCGGGGGGTTCTTAGTGGATAAGAATCCCACATAGGCCGTCTCTGCCCTCAGCGGAGACGGTACACCTTTTGAAGGTTTTCCCTCCGTTAAAAAAAAAATGAGGGTTGTTGGATGTGTGGTTAACACTGAAAGTAGATATTGCGTTATTATTTTTTTATTTGAGGAAGTGGTAGAAATGGAGTAAATGATACATCGTTGGCGATAACGTGTAATGATATATGTATACATACAGGCATGCACGTGGTCTTAGTGGAACCAATTTAGCCGATTATAGCCGTCGTTGGACGATGATCGGGCGAATTCAAATCAATTTGTTTTTTTTTCGGCTGATTCGAGCTGTATCAAGATGAACTGTTATAACACAGAAGTGTTGCAACGTTCATTCTGCCGACAACTCACCAACTAGTCGGAGGCACTGTGACCACAGCCTAATACGATCCTGTGACGACCAATCGCATCTATAACTTATCCTTCTGACTCACTTTGTGTTTTTTATAACTTTCTCTGCAGTCATTACTCACATAAACTTCATACCTCTGCGCTGTGCCCTTAGCCACTAGTAGTAGTAGTAGTTCGTACACGATCTCCCGGGAGAGGGGAAGTGCGATTTCCCCCCCAAGGCCCAGCCGTGGCTCACGGCGCCTGTGGCTATCACACAGCCCCCGCCACGTTAGCAGGGGGACTGCCGTGGGCATTACCCGGGGCGATTATTTCCCCCAGTTTTCCAACCCGACCAACTTTTTTAGGCCCGGGCCACAGCATGGAGGCGAGGAAGTACTCGCCGGGGGGCGGAGAGTCACTAGGATCGTCCCTTCCCTACCTGAATAATTAGCTATGGAATATGGTCGTCGGGGCAACCGATCCTTCGTCTCCAAAGTGAGTACCGCCTCACTCTTTGCTTCACCCACAGACCGAGTCTGTACCAAGGGTGGAATCATCCTGCTTGCGTACGTTCCATCATCGAGAGAGAGCTGTGTCGCCTGTTTCAACCCCCTATCATACTACCTACCTATGTCCCGAATATTTCAGGAGCCCCCCCTCCTCTGATACCCCTCACAAATCTACCACCCCCCACAAGGACAGGGAGAGAGTCCCGGGACTCCAATAGAGATACATGGGGAGGCCGTTCTAGCCGACCTCAAGGAGAGACGTGGTCGGGTTCGGCGATCACCTCCCCTGGGAGCCGCAGTGGACCATAAATGAATCCACCGCCAGTATGAGTCTAGTCTAAATCTAAAGCTGGGTATGTGAGTTTAATAGATTGGAAACCGAGGTAGAGTAGATCGCGCCCTCCCCCCACCCTAGAGTTTACAAGGAACGCGACGCGAACGGTAGCCCACCGGACTTCGCCGAAATTTCTCCGAAGAG